AAAAAGAACAGTCATGTAGCCTTTGCACAATTATACATTAACAGGCGAATATATAGTACAACTAATAATCTCATCTTTTCCATGAAACCCATGGTTTTAAACACATTCCCAATAACCTAATTTCGGGAGGAAAAATCTCCAAGCCATACCTTCTTATCCGAGCTTACTTTTGTTACCAGAAGTATAAATTAGCCACAGCCTCCGTGTATGTGTATTCAACAAACACTGAGAAACTTTCCCATGCTCTGTGCCAGTTAAGCTTGTTTAAAACATGTAAAAGGCAATTTAGTAATATTTGAAGATTACCAGAAATCTGGGCAATGCATAGCCTTTCACAGACTTTCCGCTAACGTGAACAAATGACTGAGAAACACAATGAGTCAGGAGGCGTTCAAGAGAAGCAAATACAGCCATCATTCCAATAGGTCTCCATCTGTATTTCTATCAACTGATGGGGACTGGTTCTGAATTCCCATTGGTTGCAGGTTCGTCCTTTTTACCTTGTTCCAGACCAGACCCAGTTGTTATAAAGTGCTGAATATTCTTGGGAAGGGAAGCAGGAGAAAAAGAGAGAAGAAGGCAAAATTAAAGCCGTACCCTGGTTTTTCAACAAGATATGATAGTGATCATAAACAATAAATATACAATATTGCAACTCTAAAATTTTAGTGCTGTGACACAGGCAAGAATTATTCTCTGCTTTGTGGTGTTAGTCCCCAATGAATTGGCTGTTCCACTCTGCAATTCAAAACAGCCAACAGACCATGGGAAAATGTTCCTCTGGGCACCTGCTTGAAACTAATGGCTACAGCAAACCATTAGCCTTCATTCAGGGCCTACAGAATGAGCTGGGAATGAATAAGCTTGGGGTTCTTAGGTGAAAAGGGCTTCAAACTGCAAAGCGTAGTCTCATTTAGAAATGACAAGAGAGGAAACAAGAACAAGGTAAACTCTTATGTGTGTATATTTTAAAATCAAAATGTAGTATTCCAACAAATAAAAACTTTGAAGGAACCAAACAGTTAAGAATATTTTCCTGAATTAACTATAAACATGACGAAACAGGCTTCTACCACCTGCGAACTTCTAAACACCCAGCTAGGCATTAATGCTCCAGGCCAGCTGTGCAATGCTGTTATGGAGAGGGCGATCCTTTTCCCAATCTCCCCCATCCGACATGTACTCTGAGCAGATGGCTAATCCCTTGAAGCACTGGTTATGTTTTCCTTTGTTGCCTGCTTGCACACACAGGAAGGCCAGCTGGTTTAAGGAAATCTACAGTCGCAGACCTCAGTGGTTGAACTATACTCTCCATGCTGTCTGAAAAGAATCCTTCCCCTGATTCCAAGCAAAGCTCAATACCTGTGTCAAGAGCTCTTCCGGTGACTCTGAGGGAGGAGAGACTCTTTGCCTGGGAAAGACCACTCTCCCTGGCTGTGGCACCTGGTTCAGAAGGCCTTCCTGAGCAGACTCTTCACTTGAATGAACATTTATGGAGCTTCCAGCAACAGTTTTATTCAACTGGTTCTCAAGGACAGTAGAAGGATCGGAAAGCAAAGGAGAAGGGGGACATTGCATGCCATCCCCAACAACATCCAAATCCTAGTAAAACAAAACAAGAAAAGCTATCTCAGATCGAGTGGAAGAAGACATGCTAATTTTCATCCTCCCACTTGACTCTAACAGCTGTCCAACTTATTCTGAGAGGACAAGTTCAGCATGTACACATACAGTTTAATATCCCTTTCCTCAAAAAAAAAATGCACAATCTGCTTTGAAGCAGATGCCAGAATCTAATTTCTTCTGGAACACTGAAGTGGGTCCCAGACTTTGTCGAAATGAGTCTGCATTTGCAGAGAAAGAGGCACAATATGAATACAGCTGGGCAGGAAAACTACAGTACTTAGACAAAAAAGGATCTTTTGAGATTTTTTTTTTGTATCAGGAGCGACTTGACAAACTGCCAATTGCCCGTCCACAAAGACGTTGCCCAGGTGATGCCCAGATATTTTAGCACCCTGTGGAACTGACAGACAGGAGCTCACTCTGCTCCCCAGATCTGAACCGTAGACCTTTTGGTAGCAGTCCTGCCAGCACAAGAGTTTAACCCACTGCACCACTGGGGGCTCCCTATCCCTTAGGATATAATTCATACTAACCAATTTATTTCTATGGGTACCAATGCCTGGTCAATGCTGTCTTATTATTTCAGAAAGGGGTGTGAAACTGGAAATTCAGAGTAGGGGAAAAGAGCAAGCCAGTGCTTTCCTTCTAAAATAAGATTCTCTTGACAAGAATGGCTCCATCAAAATGTGAATCCCACAAGATTAATTCATTCCAACACTGTTTTTCCCGATGCCTTCTGTTCAATAATGGTCTGGTATTCTCAACTAATTTCAGATCCATTTTTAGAATTAGTCCTAGAATGTTACTGCATTTACACCATTATTTTTCAGATACACATGTTTCAATCAAACCAGATTGCTGTGTTTGGAGTGCTTTTTTTTTTTTAAAGGATTTCAAAATACACAGACTTAGCTTTCATGTAGGTCACTCTAGTAATCTAGGGATTATCGCTCCCCATGCAACCCCTTATGGAATGTACAGGGAAAAAGCTGCTTGGGGGAAAAGCATCTAAATACAGATTTTAATGGTCTGATCTTTTCAAAAATGTTATTACAAGAGATCCAACCTAACTCCTGTGTTCTAGCTCTTTACATCAAAAAGCCTCTATATGAGCCTAAAATGTTTCACTGAAAACCCACATTAAAAGCAGAGAACACCATTTAACTAATGGATTTATTGCTGTATATTAAAATAACTACTTGCTCCAAACAGGTATTGAAGATCCCTCAGTTGTTTATAGGGAAAATCCTTTGAAATTGAACTACACATCCAAAAGAGCACACACTGTAGACACTTCTCAGAGCTGCTTCCTTTCAGTGAAATTATATTCCCTCAGAGCCTCTGGATTCTTTCTACTAATTCAAACTCACTTTAATTCTGATCTGAGTTTTTAATCCTAAAGCTTTATTCCCCCTTGTATCTATTGAAGACCAGGGACTACAATCAGACACCAATCTAATGTTTTGGATGATACTTTCCATCATCTTAAAATACTGGCCACTCTGATGGGACTCATGGGAACTATAGTACAACAAATGTGGACAGCATGAAGACACTACCAAGATACACCAATCTGCTACTGAGCACAATTCAAAGCCTATAAAGCTTTAAACGATTCTGGCCCAGCTTATCTGTCCAAACGTATCTCCTTCTATGAACCACCGGGGAGCTTAAGATCATCTGGGTAGGACCTGCTCTTGGTCCCGCCTCCCTCACAGGCACGATTGGTGGAGATGAGAGACAGGGTCTTCCCAGTGGTGGCCCCTCAACTGTGGAACTCCCTCCTCAGCAAAGTTAGATTACCCCACTCCCTTCTGCCCTTCCACAAGAGAATGAAAACGTGGCTTTGTGACCAAGCCTTTAAAGAACTTATACAATAGATAGACTTGGACCATTGGAACAGCCCAGATTATACTCATGGATTACGTGTTTAACTTTTAATGTATTGTTTTTAAATATTTTAATTGTTTTAATGTACTTTTAGAACAATTGTTTTAGGGCATCGAACTGTTGCCTGTATGTAAAGCTGCCTTGAGTCCTCTCTGGGGCGAAAGGTGGGGCAGAAGTGTCGTAAATAAATAAATACCCACCCACAATTTAGATTAAAATAAGGCTAGTATCTGCCTGCCTTGTTTCATTCACCGAAAGCAATGTAAGACTTCGGTTTACGTGTATTTCTAATTCAGTCATGATTGAACTACTTGTGTTTTTAGCAATCTGTGATCTAGAAATGCTGTTCTATGCATTTTCAAATATTTAAGCAAAACTTAATCTTTTACTAATTGTGTTCTCCAAATTCATTGAGTCTGCTTCTCAGTGTATTATACATCTCTCTCCCCTTACTTGCATGACGTGTAGCTTCAAGTCATTTCTTTAATTAATGCCTCCTGAAGTGCCATGAACACGGAAGTGAATATACTGAGGACGGTATAGCTGGATTCCCTGCACTGAACAGGGTTTGGGCTCAATGGCTTATGTGGCCTTGTCCGACTCTATAATTGTATGAAGACCAGACTTTTTTTCAAAGAAACGCTCCAGATGAAGGACAAGAATATCATTGTTTGTTACTTACATCACTGAATTCCAGCGGCAAGCTCTCTGTGGGCCGGAGTTCTGCTGCACTCAAGTACATATCTGTGGAAGCAGCTTCTAGCTCTTGTGGCACAGACAAGATTTGCTCAGGAACGTACATCTGAAGTGGGAGCTGGAGGTGGAGTGGGCAGCAGGGGTCTTCAGACAGGCTTACAGGCACTGGCTTGCTGCAGGACGCTTCTTCTGATCCTTGGCACAGCTTAAAGAGAAGCTGATTGGTATCCTGGCAGATATCTGAAGATACAGTCAAAGGGTGCAATTTCATGCAAAGGGATTGGAACTGAGTTTATGGTAAAGGTTTCCCCTTGACATTAAGTCTAATCATGTCTGACTCTGGGGGGTGGTGCTCATTTCTAAGCCAAAGAGCCAGTGTTGTCTGTAGATGCCTCCAAAGTGATGTGGCCGGTATGACTCCATGGAGCGCTGCTATCTTCCTTCTGAAGCAGTACCTATTGATCCACTCACATTTCAGTTGCTAGGTTGGAAGAAGCTGGGGCTAACAGCTCATCCCACTCCCTGGATTCGAACCGTTGACCTTTAACTTCAAAATAAAAACATGCTTATCACATGCTTTTATTTTGAAGTTTCTGTGCCATCTTTTTATTAGCCTAGCTAAGGACAAGTAGTTGACTAATGTATACTATACAGAAAGCTGTTCACCAGACTCCACACTAGCTTGCTAAAAAGAAGTTTTAGCATGCCTTCTAAAAGAGTCTAATATCTGTGTACATCAAGACACACAGAAATCAGTTATTTGGCCTTATTTTAGGTTTTGAGGGGTTGACTGTTGCTTCCAACTGAATTAGTTGTTCCAGCACAAAGTTATGGAACAGCCAACAGACCACAGAAAGACAATTCTTTGGGCTCCTGCTTGAAACCAGCGGCTACAGCAAGCCACTAGCCTTGATTCAGGGCCAAGAAAAATGATACAAAAAATATTCAACTGGTCAGAGTGCCAAGACTAATCATCCAAACAGCTTAAGAAGTTAAAAGGATACGAGAAAGGCAGTGTCTTGCCATTGGGAGAGACTGGTTTGAACATCGGACATCATCCACAAAAGCCAAACATCTCTGGCTGGAACGAGTAGTATGTGCCTGAAAAATCAGAGAACAAGACGATTGCCAAGGCTATCAGTGAAGAAGTGGCTCTCTTATACAGATTCTTTCTTTTTTAATCACTCACTCTATACCCAGCCCACAAAACTAGACATGATTGTCACATTTCTTCCTGTTTCTCATCATAATAAAAACAGCTGAGCTGGTAAAATCAGCAGCCAGGGTAAAAATTGACTGAAACAAAATTTACTTCATTTGTTTTGTTGTGAAACTATTTACTTTCCTATGTAGATTCCAATATGTTATTTCAGACCCTATTTTTGTTGAATTTTGAATATTGCACAGGGACACAAAAATGTTAATATCTAAAGTATTTCGTTATTACTTTATTTTTATACCCTTCCTTGGGCTTCATTAAAGAAAATTCTCAGTCCAGAATAATTTGCCCTTCTACTGAGCCAAGCGAGTACTGAACTGCACTTCGGCTCAAATACCTGCTGGGCAGCACCCTCAGTGGCCAGCATTCTGCGCTCCTTCAGTTGCCGGTGCAGAAGAGCCTCCACACCATAGCGCTGCCGGTATCGCCTCAAGTATTTCAGCCGCTTCAGGTTTTCACGCTCTTTGGCCAGAAGTCCCTCTGGGCCTGTCAGAAGGCTGCTGCCTGGAAGACACCAAGGAAGCACCCTCAGGGCAGACTCAAAGTACTACTCTGCCTGTTGCAAATCCTAGCACAGCAAAAACAGAGTGCACCTGTCACCTGACTCAACCTCTTTTGATGAAACAAAAGAAAAGAAACGTCAGCTCAGCACTTCCACTTTGCAGTCAGTTACGCAAGTAAGAAACATTACGTAAAACACAGAATGCATAAAAAACGTGAGCCTGTCCTTATCGAAAGGAATGGACTTTGAAGATATGAAACAGGGTATGCTGTTTGATAGTGCTGGACAGAAAGATGTTGTCTGTTTCAGATCAGTGGTAAAAAGGTTGATTTTTAAAAGCATAATTGCCTCCCAGGATCAGCAAATAAAACAATCTTTATATTTTGTAATATACAAAATGTTACATCCATTGCTCATACCTCACTCTTGAGGCTTAAAATAGGTTTTGAAGTTTTATGAAGTGTGTACCACATCTGTGAGCGAAATCTAGCTTTCCAGCTCTAGGAGTAGATGGTGCTCAGTATTTCAAAGGAGAGTTTAGCAAATTCCTAATTTAAAGATTGCTGTGGCACTATATCAGTTTATATCAACCAGCAAGAACACAAAACAAGTGAACAGAACGGCAATCTTCAACCACAGTGCATTATGACCTGGCAACTTGCATTCTGATGACTGCTCTAATGAATCCCAGATTGTGCTTTGCAATTTGCTGTATTACATTACAGAGTGGCCCATGTGCAGAATTCGGTCCATTTACCTATGGTTTCATGTTCCACTTTGCGGCTGTGCAAGTAACGGCGTTTTTTCTCTTTCAGGAGGTGCTGAAGCCGTTTAAACTGATCAATGTACAGAGACTGAAGTCGGATCAGTTTCTCCCGCATTATCAGAGCCACTTCCTCAGCAGTGTACACACCAGCATGTCTGTACAAACAAAATCCAATTGAGCAAGTAAGCAGTCTGATTCATAACGTCTCTAATCATTAACATGGACAAGCCAACTAAAGTAGTCTCAGATAGGAGAAGGAAGCTATTTAAGTGAAAAGCAATCAATCAGGCAGGCCTGTGACCTTCAAAAAGAGAGTACTTAGCGTTATTTTTGAATCTTTGTACAGAAAATGCAAACTTGGCACACTTCAACCCAAAGAACATTATTTCCTATAGGTCACTGAAAAGGTGCAACAGAACCACACACTATTAGTATTTTCAAAGTAAGAGGGTTTTAGGGGCCTGCTATTTGCTGCCACAGTTGAAGACACTAAGGATATGAAGTCAAAATACACTTTCCTAATCGCACTGTTACCCGTCCTATGTGAAATGCGACAAATTTAATTTGAGCTGTAGTCAGCCCATGCAAAGTGGATGGCTATGAATGATACATTGGATAATACAATTCCTCAGGCTTATTTTGTAACCTCTCAAAATGGAAAAAGCTAATCTAGATCACATCTGCAGATAAAATACTGATTAAACCCACATCCTACCACCTAACCACTGTATTTTATTTATTTATTTACAGTATTTATTATTCCACCCTTCTCACTTCGAAGGGGACTCAGGGCAGATAACAATGCACACATACATGGCAAACATTCAATGCAGTTTTTTTAGACATACCAGACATACAGACAGAGGTAATTTAGCATTTTTTTTCCAACTTTGGCTCCTGGAGATTGCTCGATTCCGGCCACAGGGAGGAGTTATGCCTTCATACACTATGAAGTCGAGCCTTTGTTCGTAGTAATTCCTCCTTGCTTTTTGATCTCTGGCATTTTGATGGTGTCATAAATTAACTTCCCCATTTTAAGCTGTCCCTAATTTCTCTACTTGCAGCACAGCTGTTTTCGAACTGCTTAGGTGAACAGTAAGCTGGGCTATTAACAGTCAGAAGCTCAAACCCAACTCAGCCTTTGAACTTGCCACCTTCCGGTCAGCAGTGATTTACTGCTGTTAGTGATTAACCAGCTGTGCTACAGCTGGCTCTATATTTTAAAGCCACCCCTTTCCCCCTGTAAAACAACGACTACTGGAATAACGTTCTGTAACTCTCCAAGTCTTTTTGAAGTGGGCTCCAATTTTGATTTGTGCTACACCTGACAAGGATCCTCACAACTTACTTCAGTGGGTCTTCCTGATCACTGTCAATGCTATCTGCTTCACTGTCAGGATCACCTCGCCATGTCTGATCCACAGTCAAAGCCTCCTGCTCTCCTTCGCTCCAGCTGTCTTCATCTGGAAACAGACAAACCCATTATATTTGCTATTTGGGAAAAAAAACTTTGTTCAGGTTCTCAATCCTGCTTCAGAAGGCTTTAACATAGTCTCAAAAACATGAAGTGAACATGAAATAGTTTTCCCAGACTATCTAGAAGAAAAATAAATGAAACTCTATGCTGCAAGCAGAAGTAACCAGTGAATTCCAAGCAGCCAGAAGAACCAAAATTCACAGAACACTTTTGCAAATCCTGAATCTATTTTGTCACATGGTGGATTGAGTGGGTCCAGCAGAAGATACGAAAGATATTTATGTAATATCTATTTAAACACAATGATAATTGCTGCAAGAGCAAATACTACTCCAAATTTACCCCTCAGTTGTGTAAAAATCAGCCTTGATACTCCAAGTAAATGAGTTCTGCGTTACGGCTGTGTTAGGCAGTATACAACTGTAAAGCCACATGAACATCCCGCTCTTTTCCCAGCACATCTATTTTGTCATCATATTCATCAAATGATACTGAAGTTTTCCTTAATTAAAACAACTGTCCATGACTGTCAACATATCATAAAAATACAGAAACCATGCATTTAATTACATTCTTCATGTCTTACTTTAACTGTGCATGAATGACTGATATTACTATATATATTTGGACATTTCTTGGTATCACACATTGAAGGAAGATATTACTCAGGTCATTCTACAGATCTAGTAGTCTTTGGAAACCTTATCTCCACAGCAGATACCAATAACATTACACTGGCGAAGATGCCAATGCCAGCACAAGCAAAATTACCAGAAGCACTACAACAACACTGAAGGATATTTCTAAGAGGAGACGTATTTGCCCAGGAGCTGCCCAAGAGCCAATGGCACAGCTTTGCCTCGTGATTTAAGTTCCTTTCACTATTACCACATCCTTGCTTGGCTCCAAGCGCTTTTATGTCTGCATAACAGACTATTACATTGTTTTTTAAATTTTTAAAAGATATTTGTGCTTTAAAATTTACAGTAACCAATTTTGTTGTATTGTGTTTCTATAAAGCATATGCTACCTTGAATCTCATGTTGAGAAAATATGAGAAATTAGTATTAATTTTTTTTAAAAAATTACAGAACTGTATCACCAATAAGATTTTGGCCTTACAGCTACATAAAATAGGCATGAAGCAGCAGCAATACATGGTAGAAAAGGAAACACTTCCCCCAATGTATTATTCAAAGTAGTGTGACGCACAAGAACATATGACTAAAGAAATATAATGCAGCATCAAATGCAAAGTCTGCCATTTGCAGGTGCCAGTTTCCTTAATTTGTTTGTTTATCATCTACAATAGAAGTGAGAAATATGGTGGTTCAAATCCTGTGTTCTCAAGTTCCCATCAGCCTATCTATAAGGCCAATGATCAAGAATGAAGGCGAAACACCAGCAGCGCTTGGAAGATCACAGATCCCCCTGAAGCGCAAAATGGAAACCCTTTCTTAGCCTATAACATGAGAACTCCGATTCCAATGTTCATACTTCTTAATGACAAAAATATTCAAGTTCTGATTATTTTATACTCCACATACCCAGTATCCTGCTAGCTTCACTGCGGCTACTCTCTGCAGTCTGAGAACTCAACTCTGTCTTGGCATATGAACTCAGCTGACAGAGGAGAGACTCTCGTACTGGACTAGGGTTGGATTTCTTCATCTGAGCTTGTAGTGCCAAGGCATTTCTGCGAGTATGTTCAGCACAGAATGACACACTATATATGCATGGAGAAAGAGAAAAGGAAATCAACATTTTATGGACTCAAATTAACCAAACCAAAAGCATTTTGTTTCAGATGGAATGCAGAAATTAATACAAAGCCTGTTGATTTCAATCTGAATTACAGAAGTGAGCACATCAACTAGTGTCAAGCAGAGAACACATTAAATTCTACAATAAGAAAACATCAAAGCAACACATTATAATGCACCTCTTTCTGGAATTGAGA